TTATATAATATAATTATATAATTATTAATTATATTATTATATTATTAATTATATATAAAAAAAAGAAAGAATTATATAAGATATAATATAAAATTATTATAAGATATGAGATAAAAAAAGAAGCACACATAAGATTTCAGAAACTCCATGACCAAAATTTCGACACAACCAATTTTTCAGAATCATTCGGAATGTTTCTGTTGAAATATCGATTTCTCTTCGCGAAAAGACATCGTGTACGATACTAAAATTGGACTCGGCAAAAATATACCGGTTTCGATATCTGATTTGCGACATTGCGCTTCGGAATTATATCTCGCGAACGAAAGTCGCGCCATCGCAACGGAGTAAAGCGGTTTAATTTATTTTTCCGGATATGTCTTGGTTAATTAAAATTAATGGCCATATAAAAATACGCGTTGCGATATCTCGTAGCTGTCATCGCTATCTCTCTTTCTCTCGGTAAGAGGACGGTAAGAGAACCTTTATACTTTCCTTGTGTGAAACGTTATTTGTCGAGGCGGATTATGCCTGCCTTAATTGATATTTCAAAAGCGGTGTCGCGCGCGATTACTCGGATCTGTTTTCCTTCAATTACGGAGATTCGGAAGCCGAATAGATGGAAATAAATCCGGCAATAAACTGACAATGATACGTATCCCCTTTTCATTTCTATTAGAAATTACGTCGATCTTTATCAAACATGTGTAAAACGAGACTTCTTATCTATGTATGTTAATCCCTTTCGGATCCGAGTATCCGCTTATCGAAAAATCTTAAGATCTTTTTTTCTCGATGTACCTACGTAAATGATATTATGTAACATATTATTTTTAAAAGAAAAATATAATCGAGAAAAAAAATTAGAAAAAAAAAACTTTTCTAAAATTTTCTAAATTAATCTAAATGTTAAATAAAACAAACAAAATGTTTTTCAATAATTTCTATAATTAATAGTGCAGATTTTTTAAATAATTTATTAAATTAAGTTGTCAAGAAATATCGTTAACCACAAAAAAAAAAAACCAAAAATTCAGGTATATTTAACACCAAATTAGTCCATAAATCTACATAATTATATTCGTCACAATTAAGTTTCCAAGACAAATGAAATAAAAATTAAAACTGTCAATAAGAGACAACGACAAAGTATCGACAACGTGTGTATTATCAATCGAAGAATTGAACGGTTCTTTACTTTATCTCGTTTGAAAAAGTTTCTCATAAATAGAGATGCGCGAGCTAATAAAAATTACAGCTTGAATCAAATTTGAAGATTCGGAGATGGAAGAGAGCTCAGTTTCGGTGAAAGACCGCGAAAAATACGGGAGCCATACGCGACGCGCTCGTTCCCGCAAAGATGCAAATACTTCACGATGCAAGGAGAAAGAGAGAGAGAGAGAGAGAGAGAGAGAGAGAGGAAGTAAGTTTTTCGCGGCATCAAAAATAGCAGAGAGCGGAGTCTGTGCTTGAATTCTAGACGCCGTGTTACCGAGGCAACGACACGCGCTTTGCGAACACGCCTCGCGTTTCCACGCGCTCTGCCGCTATCTTCCTCTATCTCGTTTTCCGTTTCTGTCATGCGTGTGTGTGTACGAGTGCCTACGCGTGTGATGCGTATCGTTTAAGCGTACACACACGGGTATAAATATCGGACTGTGACCACGTAATCGAATTGACTAAAGAGCTACACAATCGTGTGGATCGATATCGAAAAATGGCGTAAGAAATATTTTCAGAAAATTAAAAAAAGAAGAAGAAAATCAAAAATCTTACGAGATTAAAATAATATAATATACGAAGAAGTATGAAAAGTGTAGAGTATAATCTGTTTTGTATTATTCCAATAGAAACAATGCGGAATAATTTACAATAATTTATAGTAACGAGATGTGTAATATGCAAAGTCACGAAGATATATGAGTCACGCGAGTTGACATCGCGGTGTTAATTTCTCGTATGCGAGAATAATATTCAGCTCGCGCACTGTCAAGATAAGCGCTCAAAATAAGGAGTGACATATTTGCGGCATCTGAACGCGAGGCCATACCCAGGAATTAAAGAGACGGATCGAGAGAACGAGAGAGAAAGGGGGGG